ATATATAAGTTAACGAATACCATATTATATGGAATTCGTTTCTTATATATATATATATATATGGTTTAGATTTTACCTATCATATAATGAATTATATACATATGTATATGAATATATATATTCAATTTATATACATATATACAATGTACATATACATATAATGTATATTTAAAATGTATATTAGCATTATATATATATATATATATATATATATGTATATATGTTACCTAAGTATAGGTCGAAATATTTGTTTTCTCTAATAAAGTGTTTCTAAAGTCCATACATGCTATTCGTTTCTTATTATTTCTTATACAAAAAGATGGCTTCGATTTTATCTACTATATCATAATTGATATACATATAGGCTTATATATATTTAAATACATATATAAAGTATATTTAATATGTCTATATATATTTAAAGTATGTCTATAACTCATTAAGTATTGTCATGATTACCGTATATCGTTTTATATATAGGCCTATATATAGGCTATATATATTTAAAATATATATACATAATATACTTTATATATATATATATAAGTATATTTAATAAGTAGGCCTATATTTAATATGTCTATAACTCATTAAGTACCGTATTGTCATGATTATATCGTTATTATTGTCATCATATCGTTATTGTCATTATTAGTTCCATTCCTTTTTATATTGTTATAATTAATGTTATTTTAATATCATTTTTATAAATGCATTTTTAATTATTGTTAAGTGGATGTAAATGAAAAGAAAAAAAAAGCAAAGACATAAAACACTTAGTTTTGACTTTGCATTCAAATCTCTTTTGGTAAATATTTAGTAAATACACAGTAAATTGGGGCCGAGTTGACTACTTGGGGCCCAGTTGACTTGGGGCCCAGTTGACAGTTCAAAATGCAACAAATGTTTACGTATTCATTTATACAGTTATTACCCAGTGGTGTAAGTTTTTGAATTTGTTTATGTTTACTTTTATAAAAATTGATTAGTTTAAATATTGTTAATCTTTTTAGTATTTAATCAATATCACGGCCTTCTAGAAGAACCCCTTCGGGTGATACAAGCTTTTCCGTGTTTAAACAAAGCCTTTATTATTATTATTCTTATTATTCTTATTATTCTTATTATTATTATTATTATTATTATTATTATTATTATTATTATTATTATTATTATTATTATTATTATTATAACGTCATGTCGAAACTACATAACATAATGTGCCAACCACATAACGTAATTCCAAACCACATGACATCATGACCAAACCTCATCATGACCAAACCACAAAACATCGTGACCAAATCGCATACATCATGACCAAACCACATAACATCATGACCAAACCACAACGTCATGACCATACCACATAACATCATAACGATTGCACATAATATAGTGTTTGCACATAGCCGGAGATACTAACGGCGTTCCATAGAGAGAGCTATTTAGATACGTTGTAATACGTCTGGAGTGGTTGATTAATTGATTCACATTTTGACTGCTGGTAGATACTGCAGGCCCGTAGCCAGGTTCTTACAAGAGGAGGGTTTTCTGACGTGAGGTACGGGTCGAAGCCCCGGTGGGATCGGCGAAACCACCGACTCCAGAGGTTTTTTGTGCTCTAGGCATATGAGTCTAAATAATGTTGTAATACAGTGCAGTTATGTTTGAAAAAGGTCTGCAGCAAAATAGTGCTCTGATTATGGTGGGGCTTAAGTGCATTATTTGGATTTGAAGACTCGTTCAGAAAATCGAGGAGGTGGTGGGGGTTCGCTAGAAAAATGGGTGTTTGCTAGAAAAGGGGGTTTGGCCGAACTGTAACCCCCACCCCCTTGGCGACGGCCATGTGCTGAAGGATGATAAAATGATTGCAAATTTTAAAAACGCCCTATACAGTAGGCCTACTGCCTTGTATTATGTTTACTAATAAAGTATCCACATGGGATTCGGTTATCAGGAAATGTGTAGGTTTTTTTTTATGACTTTTGTATACAGTAATTTAAGATGACACATGACCCATCATGCACCTCCACGGATTTACCCTTTCCGCCATTGCCAGATCATAACATAGTGTCTTGCCCCATGAGGCATAGAAACAAGAAGGATAAATTTATGGTAATGGTGATTTATGATGATGACGATAACGATTATTGATGATGAAGGTGATTGGTGATGATTATAATCATAATGATGATAATATGATGATGACGATGAAGATGACATGGTGATGGCATGATGATGATGTTGGATGATGGTACCAAGCCATTATATTTTATAAATAACGAAGTAATTTAGGCCGTACCTTTAGATCACAGCTTCAACCTAGTACTTTATAAAAAAAAAATCAAAAATCGATAGCTGGTAAACATTGTCGAAATTTGTAAATTGACGAAAATTATTGTTCTTTTGTTTCTGCGTTTCATTGAAACCACGTTATAAAATCATTTCCAGCGTATGAACGGCAGTTGTAAGTAGTATACCTCTCACAACGTAAAACGTTTTAACTCACAAGTATTAATTACATTGTTTAAAACACACTGAAATGAAACCATTTAATTGCAATTGAAACCATGTATAGTACATTGCAACTGGAAGGGTTCCATAAGCTTGTGTTAAAATACAAATAAATGCATAAGAGGCACTTCACTCCATCAACACTTGCCACTAGTGTACAGCTCCTATCGAAGTAAAACGGTCAGATAATTAAAATTGAGACTATAAGGTAAAACAGAAAGTTATTTTCATGTTACTTATAATTTTTGGTAAAACATAATATTGAATTAATGTTATATTTTAAAACTAATTCTAATATTATTGTTGGCATAATTATGAATATAAATGTTGTTATCATTACCGAATACACATAGAATATTAGCCTACATTCGAAATTATATAATTATTTATTTTGTATCGTTTTATATATTCACACAGTAGAAGTTAACATGGAAATAACAACTGAAGGATCTACATAGATACATCTTTACTATTTTAATAAGCTCGGTGGTCTAGAGGTATGATGCCAGGCTAGTGATCTGGAGATCGTGGGTTCGAATCCCACCCGAGAACAACTTGCGATTTTTTTCGCAGTTGTTTTCAAATGTACTGAGTATTCGATACATTTCCACGTCAGGTAGGGCAAAATTACACCTATACACATTTTGATACAATTCCTAATATTTTGTTTTAACAGGTTTTCGTAAACGGTCAACCAGTCAATAATATTTTAGCCAAAAATATGGATATGGCCGTTTTAAACAACACGGCAGCGACGATTCCTTTCGAAGCATCCACGCTCCAAGAAATAGTTCGTTCATTCTTACTTCTTTTCTGTGGAATATTTGCCGTAATTGGGAACCTGTTTGTGATGTCCGTCGTTATTTTAAATAAATCCTTACATACTCCAAACAACATTTTGCTGTTCAACCTTGCGCTAATCGACCATATAACGGGAATAACTATGATAACAGCTTCAGCATTTTACATTAAGGACAACTTCGACGAGTACCAAAGAATTACAGGTGGCGTTGTATACGTGTGCGTCATTTTGTCAATTTTTAATTTACTCTTCATTGGAGTTGATCGTTTATTATCACTTTCATTTCCATTTAAATATATGAATATCAACGACAGAGTTAAAAGTTGTGTTATTGTGGCTGCGATCTGGATCCTGGGGACCATAGTGTATGTTTTCGTTTCTTATGGACCGAATTTTGGAGTGAAAGATTGCGGTGAGTTCCTGCCAAACGTGGAGGTTATTGATATAATCACACAATCTACTCTCGGAGCCACCATCTTGATATCAATTATGGTTCACATCCGTGTGTATTTCATAGCTGCTAACCAAGCAAGAAGAATTGCACAATCGCAAACAGAAAGCCGGGGCCAGTCAGCAATCAACGTTAAAGCAATAAAAACCACTTTAATCGTGCTTGGTGCATTCTGTGTTTGCTATCTTCCTACTTTATTTTTCCTACTTTCGACGTATCTCTGTTCCCCATTAGGAGGTAAAAATGCGGGAAATGTATCAACCGCAGTGTTCTTCATAACCTATAGTGGATGCATTGTCAATCCAGTTATCTACACTCTGCGAAGAGAAGAATTTAAGAAACAAATGAAGCTGTTCCTAAACAAGTGCTGCTTTTCGAGATGTAAACGCATGAACGAAAATTCAGCAGAGATGTCGGTGTCAACAACAAGAAGGGAGCCAGCTACTGGCGTATATATTGATGAAGCATGTTAAAATTTTGATTATTTTAGTCACTTTTTTGGAGACAAGTTGACTTTTTTTTTGTCAAAAGTCTATAATAGCGAACTGAGTACACCTTACATACACTTCAGAAGCGATCGATAGCTCCTAAAGTTACGAAAAGAAAAATTATTTATTATCGAATTCACGTTATAAAATAATAGCTAGTGTGATGATGTGTATGATTGTATATAATGGACCTCTCCAAAGCGTCAATCAAACATAACAATAGTATAACGCTAGACCTTTCCTGAGTGTCAATCAAACTTAACTGACCAATCAGAACAGCGCTAGGAAATCTCACAAACACATGTGTTGTCCACAAACGCACGTGTTCGCGTATGTATTGTGGGACCTTAGCAACAATATCCAAGTAGGCGGGGCTTAGCGGTAAGTTCCATTAACAAATTCACGTCCCTCACCACACGTGTTTACGTAAAATTTACACTTTTCGCTGTGGACTAGCTACAATATCCAATATTTCAAATAACAAAAGCATAATTACATTTTTACAAACAGAAAAACCATTTAATTTCGTTTGGAAGTTTGATGAAAGTTTGTCAAGATAAAAAAATGCATAAGATGCCGTTCACATACAGACAAACAGTAACAGCTCTGATAAAAAAGTAAAAGGAAGTAGGCATTTGGAATTTAGACTAAAGTTACAGGTAGAAATTTTTTAGGGGGGGGTGTTTCGTTTTTTTTTTTTTTTTTTACTTTATACCTTTTTCATTTGGAATTTAGACTAAAGTTACAGGTAGAAATTTTTTAGGGGGGGGGGGTGTTTCGTTTTTTGTTTTTTTTTGTAGCAATAATTATATAGTCAGTCCTATCCTAATCATTTTAATATGACTCACCTGCGTATGCTTACAAGCTTTGCTTTTTTGGTTACGACACTTAATAACACTCTGCCCGCAAAACACAGAGATCTCCGTGTTTGGTATCGCAACGCTTGACCGCCAAATACGGAGATCTCCGTGTTTCAGGATTTTGCATTTGTAGTACAAACGTTTTATTTTCTTTAAAAAATAATGCTAATGTAAATAGTTGAAAATAATTTAATATGATATGGTAATTGAAAGGAATTATGTATAATGAAAATGAATATATATATATATTTAAGAAATAAGTGGAAGATATATAACTTTGAAAAAAAGAAGAGTTTTCAAAAAAGATTTATATGTTAGAAAGGATAACAGAAACATACTGTATTCCAATGAAAACAAGGATTAAAAAAATTCTATATAGAATTGATCTAATTACTTTTATCAATCATTTAAATTATAAGCATGAGTATGTAAAATTTGTAAGGTATTGTGCATGTATATAAATAACATTTGTGTATTGCATTGGAGAAAGTATTATTGATATATTTACATGGAATGACAATAAAGGCGGGAAACACCCACAAAAGCGATATTTCCTATTGGACATTCTACGCTCCGTCTTCAATCCTGTCCTGCGGAATATTTGACCTAATTGGGAACCTCTTTGTTATGTCTGTCATATCATATCATATCATTTATTTTACCATTTCAAACTATAAATAATATATCATTATTACAATTAGGTCATTATCATTAAAATTATCACCATTTTGATTAAAACGGGAATATAATTTGATGGAAGCGCAGCTTCGCCCAGTAAATAAAAAAAAAAAAACAATTGCCAGATTATCTTAGTAAACAATTATTTGCCAAGCACTTACAAACAATAAATTAAATATTGTTATTACAATTTAAATTTTTATTAAAATTACCATTATTTTATTAAAACTAGAACAAAATTTGATGGAAACAGCTTGACCCTGTCTATAAAAAATGTTAAAATAAAGTACCAGATTATCTAAGTAAAATAAAAATATTAAAATTATCATTGTACAAAAATAAAACAATATATAAAATTATTTTACAAATTGAAATCATTAAAATAATTTGAAATAAGACCAGAACTAGATTAGTTGAAACTGCAGCTTAACCCCTTCTATAAATACTTTAAAACTAATAGGCAGGTCATCTTTAGTACATCGTGGTAATTCGTCAAACAGACGAGGAAAATAATTGACAGCTGTAAACCTAAGTGCATTAGTTCTACCAAATGGATGTCTTAGAATGTAAATTATGAGCTTTGACATGTAAAGATCAATTTCTTTATATATAAACATATGGTAAAATATGACATAAAAAAAATTAAGTGAAATCATATTAAGGTGCTTAAGACGTTGTTCATAGGTCATAGGATATCTCATTTCATTTCATTTATTATTTCCAGGCAATATAAAATACTATAAACAAAGACTCAGCCTGAGGAAAACCTAAAGTAAACTTAATTATTATCGAGAGGTTCTCCAAACAGAAACAAGACAACAAACACACATATAAAAATAGCAAGCTTAAATAAAGACAAAGATAATCGTACAGAATAACATCGACCCTAACACATGACTTTGTCATTCGTCGTTGTATCTCTTCAATAGTGTTCATCATACATTCTTTTGGCTTTACTAGTGACTACGGTAACGAGTTTCTCCCATCAGAGATCATTAAAACTGTGATACGCAAGTATTTAAATGAGTCAATAACATCAATCAAATTACCATCCATATAATAATTACAAGCAGTTTCACAGAGAGTACTGAACCTTGTTATGTGCATACCTTTACATTTTTTTTAATTTAAACACATTTTATTATTATTGCACCATTCGATTACATTATCCTGGTCTTAAAAAAAAAAAAAACTCTCATCTTCTGATGACCTGTATGAATACTGTGGTATGAATGATGATACGTATGATGAAAGATCAGTCACAAACAGATTAAGTGGGCCTAACACCGACCACTACTGACGCCTGATTGGAAATACTGCCCCTAAATTTGACGACTTCTGTCAGAAAGGTAGGACTTAAACCAGTCTAGGTTTGCACCACAAATAGTTATGTAATTTACCAAGAAGGATGATGGCTGACCCTATCAAATGCCTTACTCCAATCTAGAAAAATGGCATCATGTAGAGGTCTGTTTTCATCAAGTACTTTTGCCCAGTGGTATGATACCATTTTCATATTTAAAACAGCCTAATACGATTAGCAGCTATTTTCTAAATTAATTTACCTACAATCAAACACAGGGATATTGGCCTATAATAATAATAATAATAATAATAATAATAATAATAATTATTATTATTATTATTATTATTATTATTATTATTATTATTATTATTATCATAACAATAACAATAATAATAATAATACTAATAATAATAATAATAATAATTAATAATAATAATAATAATAATAATAATAATAATAATAATAATAATAATAATAATAATAAATAATAATACGCAAATATTTACATAGCACCAATTCTAACGAATGATCAAAGACGCTCGATATTACTAAGAGACCAAGTCTCCTTCCACTCACAGGAAAAACTCCTGATCCTGATATTAGAGAGCAATTAGATAGCTAGTCTAGGCTGCAGCGAGTTGGAGCGTGTTTGAAGAAATTCCATTATGACCCGGAAATTTCCTCGTTTAATTTGTTGTTGATGAGATGGAGAACTTCAGAACTTGACGTCGTTAATTTGTAAGTGAGATGAGATTTACATTATTAGAGCAGTTTTCCAGAATAGCAGTTATTGAATGAATCAACATCATGAGTAAAATTGAGTGTAAAAGAAATCATTGAAACCAGAAGCAATTGTGCCATGATCAGTTTGACATTGCTATTTAATTATAAACGAGTTTGTATATTGGGCTTGGCCCCAGCGTTACGAGCATAGCCCCGACAAGGAAGAAGAAAGCAGCCAGCTACTTATGTATGAATTATGAGAAATGAAAAATTATATTAATGAAACATGTTAAGATTTATTTTGGTCATTTTTTGGAGAAACAGATTTGAAATGTCAGTTGATTACTTTATGTCCATGTTAGTTATTAGCATTTAGTACAAAATCTGCAAACTGGACATATTTCCCTGGTCACTTCTCAGACGTAAATCAACCCTCAAATTGGCTGGTAACTGTTTTTTCCTTTTTGTTGTCATAAAGTCTGAAAATTTGAAAACTGAACACGGTTTTCGATCTGTGAAGTTAATAACAATCTTAAGTCAGAGTATTACTATTATCATTATTATTATTATCATTATTATTATGTTATTATTATTATTATTATTATTATTATTATTATTATTATTATCATTATTATTATTATTATTATTATTATTATTATTATTTTTATATGACAATGGCAATGCATGAGGATGTTGTGATGATGATGAGTACGATGATGATGATTGTGATTATGATGATTAATTCAAACAATTTATTAAGGATTGATTCAGGACCATTTGATTGTGAAGCTCCTATTGACATTTGACAATAGAATGCATCTTGTATATACCAACCCCTATTTATGAATAATGAAGTAATATAATTTATACTATATTTTTAGATCACAGCAAACTTGCCCACTTACACGAACTTAGAAGCAATCGATAATTTTTAAATTGACGGGGGAAAAATTATTTATTGTTAAAATTAAGTTATAAAATAATAATCAGCGTATAATTGTTTAATGGACATTTCCGATAATGCAATCAGACTTTACAAATTACCAATTAGAACAATGCCAGTAAAAAGTTTACGTTTCTCAACACACGTGTTTACGTACATTTACACTTGTCGCTGAGGACCTTAGCAACAGTATCCAAGGAGCAGGAGAATGTGTAAATGGTTAGTAACTCAAGAGTTGAAATAACAAGAACATAATTACATTTCCATATACATAAGATAGAAGCCATTTGATTTCAGTTGGAAGTTTGATAACGTTTTGTTAAGATATAAATACATGCGTAAAAGTCTGTTTGTTCACTTCTTCAAGGCTTGACAGCAGTGTACAGCTCTCATCAAAGTAAATATAAGACATTTGAAATTGAGACTAAAGGTAAAGGTTGAAGCTTGTATTTATATGATAAACAATAAAGATTGAAATAGTAAAAATAAATTTATAGTCAGGCATATCCATGTAATTTTCTTTTATTTGTTAATATTAAGTATGACTGCGACCATGTTAACTGTTAAATGTTAATTTTTTGTTTACGCCACTTGTTATTAATAATTATATATAATTTGCAAGTGAGATAAATTGATTGAATGAATTTAAGAAATATTTTAATTTAATGATAGCCCTACCTAATAACATTTGTCTTAGCGGGAATATAAATATAGGCCTATTATGTTTGACTATTGCGATGACAGAACACAATGAAATTTACTTCATAATTACAGAGTTAATGTGTTTATTATGGCCTATTTGTAATATTTCAATATATTATTAGTCATGACCACATTATTTATGATAGTTATAATTATGCATTATAATTAAGACATTTATAAAGTATTTAATTATTGTTTTTGTCAAACATCTCTTTGATTATTGTTCCTTAGCAGTGTGTGTACGTCGATCCGTTTTGAACTCTATTTTTTAATAGGACTAATATTTTATATGTTATATTTTTCCGAACAGGTTTTCGTAAAAAGTCTTTTCACCCAGTCAAAAACATTTTAGCCCGAAATTTTGACCATCAAAATGATGTTTGTTTTAAACGAAACAACAGCGATGTTTCCTACTGGACATTCCATGCTCCAAGAAATAATTTTTTCAGTCTTGCTTCAAATTTCTGGAATAATTGCTGCAATTGGGAATCTGTTTGTAATGTCTGTCATTATTTGTAATAAATCCTTACATACTCCAAGTAACATTTTGTTACTCCACCTTGCACTCATTGATCATCTAACGGGAATTTGTCTAATAATAGCTTCAGCATTTTATATTGAGGGCAACTTCGATAGTTTCCACGAAATAGAAAATGGCGTATCCATGTGTGTAATCTTGTCAATTTTCAATTTACTCTTCATTGGAATTGATCGTTTATTATCCCTTTCCTACCCATTTCAATATATGAACATTAATGACAGAGTCAAAAGTTGGGTTACTGTGGCTGCAATCTGGTTCCTGGCTACCATAGTGTATGTTTTCAGTTTTTATGGACAGAATTTCGTAGTGATAGACTGTGGTGAGTTCTTGTCAAATGTGGATATGGGTACAGTGATCAGAGAATTTACTCTCGGAGGCATCGTCTTGATATCAATTATGATTCACATCCGTGTATATTGCATCGCTGCTAACCAAGCAAGAAGAATTGCACAATCGCAAACAGAGAGCCAGGGCCAGTCACCAATCAACCTTAAAGCAATAAAAACCACTTTGATTGTACTTGGTGCATTCTGTGTTTGCTATTTTCCTGTTTTATTTTTTCAAATGTCGACTTTTAACTGCTCTCCATTAGGAGGTAAAAATGCGAATAATGTATTAGCTATAGCAACCTTTTTCTTGTACAGTGGGTGCACTGTCAATCCAGTCATTTACACACTTCGAAGGGAAGAATTTAAAAATCAAATAAAGCGGTTCTTAAACAAATGCTGCTTTTCAAGATGTAAACTCATGGTTGAAAATTCCATAGAGATGTCCATTTCAACAACAAGAAGGGAGCAAGCATATTGATAAAACATGTTACATTTCGAATATTTTGGTGACTTTTTTGAGAGTTTTCGGACTCAGATTTTTGAATTTCAGTTGCTTACTTTATATTTATGTGACTTATCAGCTTTAGATTCAAACAATGGATAAACCGACCCTCAAGTTGGCTTGTCACTGTTCATTGTTGTCACAAGTCTGTAAGTAGCAAGCTGAACACAGTTTTCGATCTGTGAAATGACCAGCTCTGGCAAAACCCGCCGTTTGTCTTAAATTTCTAATTTTCCACAAGCACCTAAAAAGTTCTAGAATCAGAATTGTAAACATTTCTAGGTTTTTACATTTTATAAAAGAAGATATATTGAAGAACGTTTCTGCAAACATATCAGTCACTAAATCTAACTGAAAAGTATATTAAAATTATTTCTAAAATACCAAGTTTAATAATAAACTATTGATTTTGGAATATTTCGAAGCTGTTTTCTCAAAACATACATGGCCGATAGCCAATTAATTAAGTATTCACAACTTCGCTTACAACAATCCCCATCAAATATACACTGTTGTAAAGAAGGATTGTTGCAGAATCTACAAATACACCAAAAAACTCAATTTTAATTTTTTCCAAAAAATGTCTGATTTTGCCAGAGCCGGTCACCAATCAAGACTGACTATTACTAGGCTTAATCGCTCCGTTCTCTTGGCTTGGTTCCTAAGATTTTTTTAAAAAGTTATATCGGCTTACTTAGGTACAATAATATAAATGTATTTAACCCCACCTCTCTCATTTTCTTCTTCTGCATAATGCGGTATATCAAACCACACTACATTCATTATATTCCAACGATTAGGCGTACTGTAAATTGATTTAATATACCGGTACACAATTTTACAATTAATTATTTTATAATCATTAGTATTATTAAAATGATGATGATGATGCTGATGATAATGATGATGATTATGAACGTTATGATGATGATGATAATGACCATATGATTAGGAAGCTCCTATTGATAAATGTATGCACTGGCAAGTGCATCTTGTATCTATCAAGCCATTGTTTATGAATAATAAAAATCGATAGTTTTTAAATTGACGAAAAGAAAAAGATTTATTGTTGAAATTACATTATACAAAATAATAACCAGCGATAATTATATAGGCCTAATGGAACTTTCGGATATGTCTATCAAACTTACAACTTACCAATTATATTGTATTAGAACAAGCCAGAAAACAAGTTCACGTCCCTTAAACACACGTTTTTTCGTACATTTACACTTGTCGCATGCCCTTAGCAACAATATCCAAGGGGCGGGAAAGTGTATAAACGGTTTGTGTAACAGACAGTAGAATAGTTGATGCTGAATAAAAGCTTTGCAGTGTATTGGTACAAAAAGAACTGTGTTATCTATCTCATTTAAAGTCGCCATCCCACCATAATATTACATTAGTAACTCATGAGTTGAAATAACAAGGGCATAATTACATTTCTACAATAAGAGGTAGAAGAATTTTATTGATCGAATTGATGAAATATTTTAATATAATAATAGGCATAACTAATAATATATTTGTCTTAGTACGAATATAAATATATTATATTTAACTATTGCACTGATAGAACGCCATTAGATTTACCGTACTTCTTATAATTAGAAAGTTAATGCTTCACTATGTAATTGTAATATCACAATATTTCATTATTGTCATGACCGCAATATTTATTATAATTAAAATTATGAGATTTATAAAGTATTTATATTGTTTTTGTCATACTCTTTTGTCATCCCTTTGATAATTGTGCCTTAGCCGTGTGTGCTTCGATCTGTTTTTGAAGGGTCCTACTAAACACCACACGACACCACACGCAACCACACGGAACTACACGGGTGCAAAAATAATTAAAATATTACCAAACGAGAGTAAAAAACTGCCTAAAAAAAAAAAATAAAAAAAATAAATAAAAACTTTTAAAGTGATAGTTGACCGAATTATGGTAAAAAATTATTATTTTTTACAGATTTTGCCGCCGTGCTTCAGAGGTAATGCGTTGACCTTGAGTATCTCTAAACATGGACCTAAAAATAATTATTAATAGGACTATGCTCTAACCATGGAGGAATTAGTTCTAGACTAAACTAATTCCTCCATGCTCTAACGCAATGATGTCTGCAGAAACGTGTTCAACCATGACCTTCATAATAGGCCTAGTTAGTTAGTTATTTTTACTGACAAACTGGGGATAACAGCCGTCCAACATGGCAATACAATACAATACAATACATATCAAGCATGGTAAGATTAAAACAATTCACCGTTCTCCTAATCACATACGGTAATAAAAATTTACTAATTTTCATTTTAGAATTCTGAGAATATTCATCGTAATATCGTACCGACGTCATCTAGTTTTTTTACACTAATTTAAGTGTATGGGTCATCGTGTACATTACACCCAAACACCGCAACGCTCGAGTTTCAAACTAGCTGTACCGAACTTTCTGAGTAAATTGAGGGCGCAATTGCAAACGATGGTGCTTAGCGAAATTTGATTGGCTAAATCTATGGCAGCCATCTTGGATGGTACACCCACACAGTTCTGCGTATTTCGAACATCGAATACATTGCGGTTAGCGCTCTAGTATTCTTATTATATCTCTATGGTATGGGTAGACTTGCAGGATCTTTGTCTTAATTATTAAATTTATATCACCATAATGTGTAAAATATAAGCATGAATCTGTACTTACATCAGTGGCGTATATACTACTCCCCTAACCCCGAAAATTACTCGCGCCCCTCCCCCTGCCAAAAAAATCACGGTCAAGTAATTAAAAATCACCTAAAATCACCTTATTTTGCGAATTAGCGCCCCTCAGCTGACCATCGAGCACCCCCACTTCACCTTCGCGCCCCTCCCCCATCAGCCGCCCATATCAAGAAATCTAGATACGCCACTGACTTAGATGAATGAAAATCCTCAATCGATGTTCAACCAAATCGTAACCAGACTTCACCCTACCCTCACTATGTGACCGGGAACACAACTGCCAAAAAACTATTTTGGCAGCGAAGTGACGCTACCAATAAACAATCAACAAACTACGGGATTTCTGGGTTGATTTGCAAGGTACTACATGGCTCAACTATTTTTCACTTAGGGGTTAATTGGTAAAAATCGCACACAAATCATACGACGTCACTGACAACGCCAAGGACGGCAACTCGATTTTGAGATTAATTTTCCGAATAAAGTTATACTAAATAACTTGTAATGACAAACTGTTGTCTTCAGTTGTCTTTGTTGGTCATCTAACTGTCATTTTATCTATTTTTTCGGTGATATTACCATTACCATTCTCAATAATCTATAAAACGCCCACATAAAACAACGTCCCGTTAGATCGGTGGGGACTCCGTGGTGACGCCGGTGGGGTCAATTTTCGTCGGAATGTATCAAGATGATAAACAGTTTCATTGGACTAAATTCTTGCTTATGTTAACCACCTGCTTATACCTAAGATTATACTGACACTGGTTTTGAATGAAATAACTGACAACTTTGGTTTGTATCAATGTTTTAATAAGTACATAAAACTATGTCACAAATACGTATGCAAAAATGCACGGGGACACCACGCTGTTTTTGTATTTTGCTTGAAATCTGTATGCCTGATCACCATCATCATACACAGTATAAGATTCAAGTATAAGATGTTTTAAATGATATGAAAATGTATGCAAACATGCCTTTGGAACAGTTTTTTTTTTTCGGGTTTTATTTACCTTAACGTCGACTCCGTCTTAGAAAGCGCTAATTACACCGGGATTAATCACCACGCTGTTTTTGTATTTTCTTGAAATCTGTATGCCTGATCACCATCACCATACACAGTATAATAGATTCAAGTAAGATGTTTCAAATGATATAAAAATGTATGCAAACATGCCTTTGGAACAGTTTTTTTCCAGTTTTACTTAGACTGACAGTAAATGTATGCACAGAGGCTGCAGCTGATTATTTTGACTGACAGACATGAAAATAGCGCATGCGCACAATCAGTGGCGTAAAAGTCTACTTTCAAATAGTGCTGAACTTTTGGTTATAGAAAACACCTTTATGTACGTCCTATTTTGGTAAACTTTTAGTACGTTGTTTTACATATAATTAAGTTTATATTTAGATCATAAAACGTTTTGTTGCAATTTTGTCCAGTCAAATCCGTATTTCCGGTGGACTACTGTGGCTCTCTGAGACTGGGGCCCTTTCAGTGTTCTGAATCCTCGGATCAAAAATTTAAATATATATATAAGCAAGTGACTCTCCCGTTAACTCTACCATTAATTTTTTTTTCTTAATCCGGGGGACCACGACAGAGGCTCTACTCGGCCCGCTGGATCGGACCTCCTGTCGGACATCATGTCGGACCCCTTGTCGGTAAATTTCAGGATCCACCGCTGTGCCGCCCTTTTTGAGTCTCATTCGTTAATTCCATCCTTGGATTTTAGATGTGCTCGTTTTTTATTCATGATTGTCATTGTTATTTTAAGTATTTTTAACGACGAATAAATGACATAATATCAGTGGTGGATCCAGGAATTTGAAATAGAGGGTGGACCAAGGAGATACTTTAAAAGATGGAGGGTCTACCCCCTCAGCCCCACCATGGTTGGGGCTGAGGCCATAAAATTTATTATTGTGGCACCTCTGGATGGCGGGAAATGGCACTCACATATTTAAAATTGTGAATATGATTTTTTTTTTATCCCAATTTTTTTTTAATGAAAAATTTAGTAATTACTTGTTGTTTATATTTATGAGAAAAGCTTGATTGATCTGTAAATTTATAAAATAGCACAAAAAAAAAATTTATCATTTAGATGAATTAATTCTATATTACTAGGACGTTGTTTTACACGCCTCACCAAGCACGTAGGCCTGTTTATACTTCAGTGTTCTTATCTCACGATGTAGCAATTACAGTAGTTTAGCCTCTCACGTCATAACAGGAAGTTCATGGACCTATTCATAAGGTCCATGGCACGTTCGTCAATGGTAGGAGAGAAAAGTGGGTATGTAGTGGGCGTGTCAAAAGGTCTGACGTCATCGACATCTTGCTCCTTAAACGCGCCAACAGAGAGAGAGGGAAGAAGAGGGCCTCGTTCCACGTTGTCCATTCACAAAAATTTGGTGGTTCAGTAGTACTGCGACGTAATATTTTTACACATTCATTTTTTGTAAACAAAGACGCAAATAACTATAACCATTAATTAGCATGGAATCGTCTGGAAGACTTGGTAAAACGTAAGTAAATTTATTGATGTATCACTGTTTTTATGGTGCTTTGTTGAGTTTTTATCTAACCTAGACCTAGGCCTAGGCCTAGCCTAGTACTAGAGTAGTAGTACAGTATAACCATAGTAGCCTTAGGCCTAGGCTATTCGTGGCCTAGAGGCGGGAATAAATAGTCTGTTCTAGGCCTAGGAGGCCTAGGCCTGTCTTGTGTGTAGCCTGTGTAGGCCTAGGCCTATATGGCAGTATAATGATATCCATTATTTAGCCAATCTAGGATATACTGTATAGGCCAAATTAGGGGGTTTTTTTTCAAATTAAAGTAACAATTACAAAATACAATCACTACAAACGAACCTTTGTTTTTTTTTTTGTTTTTTTTTTTGTTTTTTTTTTGCATCCTTATCTGTACTGTAAGGTACAGTAAGGAACAAGAAAGAACTTCCAAGTCTGTTTGTAGATATGGTACATACATTCAGGAATCATCAAATTTGATCTCATCTGTATGTATGTATATATATATATATATATATATATATGGCTATGAAAAAACATTTCATCTTCCTGATCCATTGTCATCTTTACACTCATCGTTGGGGACAGTCTTGAGCCGTCGTGAGAAATATTAAACAAGTTTAATATTCTGACGACGCGACTGTCCCCGGCGCAAACCATCGCGTCTGCGTTTAACTCACGCAGACCCGACGCGACAACCAAACGCGTCGAGCTGCATTGTACGACGCTGTCTGATTTGGCCTTTACACACACAATTAGACCATATAATTTCTTAATATATAATTTTACTGTAGAACTAATGTGTTGTCCTTTCTTTCACATTTCAATGATAATATGTTAATGTTATTTATTATTATTGAATCTGCCTCATGATTTAATGTAAAAAGATTAGGGTGAAAGGTCATTTGGTCATTATTGACCTGGTTCCAGATTTTGAATTTGAGCGACACAGAGTATTCTGTAATGTATGTAGTAGTTTTGATTTTATGCCCTGTAATTTCATAATACATATTGATAACAGAACAATGAAAATTATAAGCCTATGGAGAACTGTTACAATATTATTGGGTGGTTGGTATGCTAACACTGCAGCTGTATAAGCCCATTGAGATTTGTTAATAGGTAAGCCTGGCCTGCATTACATTTACTTAAGGTGATTGATGAATATGTATATACAGTAATACTAAATGAGTTTGCCTCCAAATTACTTAAGGTGATTGATGAATATGTATACAGTATACAGTAATATTAAATGAGTTTGCCTCCACCGTACGGTTTGCAATGTGAAAAGATCAGTAAGCTACCTTAATGGAATGAAGCCATTTTTGCAAAGACCTGCATCATTGCTTAGTTCTACAGATCCAATTCAATAAATTTTGCATGAATAATGAGTACAGATTTTTAATCCAATTGTCTGCATGAAAGGCTATACAACTGAATGAAGATAATCAATAACAAAGGGTACAAAGAATTTGGTGTTTCCCAATGCTTTTCCCACTGATTGAAATTTGTAATCATTAAAGTATAAACTTGAATGAAAGGTAATCAATTCCAACTATGGATTGAAGTATCCATTGGTTTCCCAACCCTTTTTCACTCATTTGTACAGAGAGAAAAAAGTTACTGTATGAGCTAGTCTACACCTCAAGTGATTTAAGACTTTGGTGTAAAGTGCTCACTGAATAAATATAACTACATTACATTACATTACAATATGTAGAAGTCGGCATATTATGAAGAACATATATAATTCTGTTAGTACAGACATCAGATGTGTTTACAAATACTTAGTTTTGGAAGTTTTTAGTCATTGTTTGATTAATACAATTTTGACTTTGACATTCACATAGTCAAGGTCAAATTTAGTGTTCAGTGAACCCAATGCAATTCAAGTGCCTCTCTTTGCTAAATACACAAAACACTGAAACACTGACACAAGAACTAAGAATTGATGACATACATTAACATAGAGCGAATTCACTCAAGTCAAATCCCTTGAAACAGACAAACAAGTTGCAAGCAGCAGTGGCTCCAAAAAGATTCCGACAATTCTAACAAGTTGACATGCAGTCTGAACCATAATGACATGCAGTCTGACCCATAATGACATGCAGTCTGACCCTTAATGACATGCAGTCTGAACCATAATGCTTTCCGGAGCCTCCCGCTAGGCTCCTATCGAAATACCCCCTGGTTTTGGTCAATAGAGAGAGAAATTTTATGGTTGTTTGGTAAAAATTGTATCATGTCAAGTTTAGACTACAGTGTAAATGTAGGAACAGTAATCTTTAACATCGGGTTAATTGGCAAATTAATCTTTTTACCC